CTACAGCAAGGTTTGGTTGGAAAAAGGCCCAGCTCACCCAAGGCTGGAGCCACCACTTCAACCAATGACGGTAACTTCAAACATGGCTATTTTAAATTTTCATGCTATAAAATACCTCTTGCTACTACTTGTAAACAGGTTTTGTTCTCAAAGCAGGAGCCTTAAAAATGTTTACTCCTAGATACTATTGTACAAGGAAGGGTAGTATCTAAAATGTTTACATAAGGGATAAATCAGATCTTATACAGCCAAAAGTCCTGTATTTACAATTGCAAATCCGAACTTGGGAGAAAACAAGGTTATTATTTTCACCATGACCCAATTTATAAAACCAAATAGGTATTTTTTATAAGCTTTTAAATTAGTTAAAACCTTTTACTTACATTTTAGCATGGAATGTTAAAATGGTAAAACTATGCACCACAGTTTGGACCAAAAGCAAGACATTAATGTACGTAACAAGACAACACAGACCCAGAATGAGTTTACTTGACATGGTTTCAATTAATTCTACCGCTTCTCTTAGCACGTGTATTTGTTACATGCTGGGTGGTGCTTTGGAAGTTATTACTGGATGCTACTTTAAAGCAGAGATGTTAATCACAGAAGCATCTCTCTAACCAACTTAAATCGTATTAGGTTGTCTGTTGCAGCACTGAATACTGGTCCTAATGAGCAGCACGTGGTATGAGAAACTGCACAAACTCTTTTGTCTCAAAGGAAGAGTATGGGAATACATACAGGAATCAGCTGGTTGATTGCGCAAATATTTCCATTAAATCTTTTCAAAGGCTTCAGCACTGCTTACTGGGAAAAAGAAGAAAGAATCCGATTTAGAGGAAGCAACAATAACCAATGTTTAGCAACAGACTTGATTTACCAGGTCTTTTTCTTTGCAAACATTTAAACACATTGTGAATTTGGCTGCAGGTTGTCACTGAATTGCAGTATATAAACACTACTGCTGTGTAAATCATGTTTATCTGATGGCTTGTGAAAACTTGCTCTGCAGCAAAGCCCAATTTCAACAAATCCCTCATCTTCAGCCATGTTGCTCAGGTATAACTGAATTCCTCTGTATGCTGGATATATTCCACTAAACCTTACTTCTACAAATAGCTGCTTGCTTAACTTGAAGCACGAGGTAAACCAATTGTGTTTGATGAGATTACTGATATAAGTAGCTTCATAGCAGTGTGAATCTGAGGCCAAGAGCCACACACTGTAGAGTTGTTGTACTCAGAAAAGAAAGTGGAATAATAGTATGTTCATACACAGCATAAAGGCTTTATGTGAAGATTTTACCCATTACTACTATTCTATTCTTTTACATACACAAAATAAATGAATAAATATGCTTCTCCTGATTGGGAATGCATTGTAGCTCTTAACCTATTAATTGGAAAAAGTCAGTCAGCCTACTTCTAGTCCTAAGTAGTAAACTGTTTCATACAACTTTTTTCTCCCAACAAGATCAAAGTGGACCTCAGAACAAAATTCATTTTGTAACCTTGTGATGCTGTAGTCCTAAAAAGTAATTCGTTTTAATCAAAAACAGCCCAAGCAGTTTAAGCAGCATTCAGTGGACCTATATTCTGGTAGCAGATTCATCTATTTTTCAACTATTTTCAATTTGTTTTATCAAAATTGCTTCCTACAGCTTCCCTTCCCTCCCACTCCTGCCCCTTTCAGTTACCATCTCTGCCTTCATTAATCAAATTGGCTGTATTGGGTATTTGTTGTCTAAATCAAATTCTGGAATAACAATGCAACAATTTGTAGGGTTGCAAGATGTTGGGGGTGGGGGGGGGGGAGGGGAGATTCCTAACTATTGCTTTCCCTGTGTTACTGCATTTATATGTCCTGGTGTGGACAGAATTTCTTGGTAATTTATTTTTCTGACGCGATATCTTCAGGTGCCCTTAGCTTTCACTTTCAGCAAAAACAACAGCTTTGAGACCCACACTTGCAACTTTTCTGCACATCTCACCTACATCCATTAAATATCTGTTCCCCTTCATGATTTTGGTTTTTTTTCTCTTAGTTTTAAATGCTAAAACATCATGGAAAAAGACTATGAAGTTTAAGAATATTTACCTTTTATCACAAGCGGATAAAAGGCATTACCTTGTTTTATATTGCAGTGGATGATGGAATAAGCAAACACTCATTTGCAAATGACTCATAACATAATGATAAGTTTTCATAAGTGTATTTAGAAGATACGTTTTGAGACTGCAGTGAAAAATCCTTCTCCTCCTGCACTGTACTCCAAGAATTACTGCATGACTTGCTAACCAGCAGCACAACTAATTTTGAGAATTCCTGGCCTGGGAGGTCTATTTGCTCAGCTTTCAGTTGTTTCTATTTTAGTCAGTATCTTTTTTTACCACTATTCCTGTTCATATTTCAGCCAAACTTTTTATTTCCTCAGGTTTCTATCACAATCTTACAGTCCACTTTTTGGAAATGGGAGTCACAGGGAATAGCAAAATAGTAAGAATATTGGGGGAAAGTATCTTATTCTGGAAGTTAATAAGGCCAACTGAGCAAGATACTGCGTGAAGACCTCATAGCAGCCGTCTAGTATCTGAAGGGGGCATATAAGGATGCTGGGGATGGACTCTTCATTAGGGACTATAGTGATAGGACAAGGGGTAATGGTTTAAAACTTAAACAGGGGAAGTTTAGATTGGATATAAGGAGGAAATTCTTTCCTGTTAGGGTGGTGAGGCACTGGAATAGGTTGCCCAAGGAGGTTGTGAATGCTCCATCCCTGGCAGTGTTCAAGGCCAGGTTGGATGAGGCCTTGGGTGATATGGTTTAGAGCGAGGTGTCCCTGCCCATGGCAGGGGGGCTGGAACTTGATGATCTTAAGGTCCTTTCCAACCCTAATTATTCTATGATTCTATGATTCTACGAAACTAGTAAGAATATTATAGTCAATATTTTTCATTAGCACAAACTAAAAGTCCCAAGAGACTAATTGTGAAAAATTGAAAAATTGTTTTTAAAGAAGTGAGTCTGGAAGGTTACAACTTCACCATGTTTACACTGAGGATAGCAAGAGTTCACTTGTATAGGGCAATTACCCAGAAGTCCAGTATCTACATAATTTAAACTAATGTCAAAAGAATACTTTTTGCCTGGAAGAAAGGTACAACTCCTGGGTCTTTATAAAGTTTGTAAGGGCCTAAGATAAAGCCATAAGTAGACACCCAGTGTGACAACTGATGTAGAAAATTTTTGCTCCCTAGCCTCTGAGATGCCAGCAATGGTTCCCAGGCAATAAGAAATACTTCAGATCTTTTTTGCAGTGTACTCGTTGGGGATAGAAATGCAAATTTGCCATCAGAGTGCATGTGCAGACTTACCACATGCTGCAATTGCCACTATCTGAGAAAAAAAGAAAGGTGAGGAGCAGGAAACCACATGCTGCAATTGTACTCTGTACCTTTAGGGTTCCTTTGCAACTTCTTCAAGTGTCTTCTCCTCCACAGAAACTGAAAATGGAGACAAAACACCAATGAGAAATGTTGGAATCAACTTATTTGTTTCCCTGCAGTCTAAATTATCCTTTGGCCTAAAAGGATACAATTTACAAAGCCATACTAGGTATACAGATATCTCTCTTTTTGGCTTTTAAATTCTAATCGTAAAAGAGTTTAGAGGCCAAATTTCTAAACTCCTTTGAAAATCTCCCCAGTGAGGATTTCAACACACATTTTCTTTGGCATTCAGTTATATTGTTCAACTTCAATAGCAATACAGGAGTGTTTACAGCTGCACTGAAACACTGCAATGTTTATAAATATCACATGCGCTGTATTTTTCTTTACAGCAATGTAATTTAAGAAAATTCCATCTTTCAAATTAAGTCAGACTTCAAACAAAGTATGTTACATCCCATCCAGCACAAGGGAGAATTTCTTGTTCTTGAATTTTACATCTAGCCACTTAGCAGGACACTGAGCTCAGAATACTGCAGCAATACACATAATATATATTTCTACTGCATGGCATATAATGTCAAAATTCAGCTTTCAGCTATGACTACAATGCTAAACACAGCCACCACAAGCAGCCACTCCCGAGTTACACATGTGCTTGCAGCTAGTTCAGTGCAAACAGCCATTAGTGCTTTCAGAGACAAAACATTTCAGACCCATCTGTACTCTTGCACCTTCTGAAATTTGCCCCGACTCCTCAGCATCAGTGTCCTGGCTCCTTGAGGATGTGTCAGAAATCTCTTGAGCTGCTGACACTGCTTCCTTGACACTGTCTAAGTTTTCCTCATGGGCAGAAGAATCTGAAACATCCAAGACTTCACTCACAGTTTCTATGAATCAAATTAGAGAGATAATTGTCTTCTCTTTCCATTCATCAGCATAAATGAGGGCGAGCAGTCAAGGCTCACAAAATATGAACTAAACACGCATGTTTGAAATAACTAAAGACAACAGAATCTATCAGATTATTAAATTTTATCACACAAGTAAAAGTTTGCAAATGGAATTCCAGGGAAAATCTGACTTCCCAACCCTAGGGCAGAAAACTATAAACATGAACTGTTTTCATGTCTTTAGACAAAGGTAAATATTCTCTAACACCACAGAATGGTTTGGGTTGGAAGGGACCTTAAAGCCCATCCAGTTCCAAGCCCCTGTCATGGGCAGGGACACCTTCCACTAGACCAGATTGCTCCAAGCCCCATCCAGCCTGGCCTTGAACACTGCCAGGGATGGGGCAGCCACAGCTTCTCTGGGCAACCTGTCCACCACCTCACCATCCTTACAGGGAACAACTTCTCCCCAGTATTGAGTCTAAATCTCTCCACTTTCAACTTAAAGCCACATACACTCTCTTGCAGATACCCTCATTCTGTTTTCCAATTTCTGCCAAACTATTAATGTCATGCAAGATACTAATGGTAATGTTTCCATGGAAATTACCCTGGTCTGATCCATGCCACAGGGACAAACACACACAAACATTCCACATAACCTTGCAGAGGGTAGTTATAGTGTAGAAATATTCTAATATCAGCCTGAAAGTTCAGGCTGTGATTCTAGTGTAGCATGACTGCCAAGTAGCCATTTTTCAATACTCCTTATGGATAAAGCAATCTATGTATAAAAAGTGTGTAATAGTTAATATGTCTATATGCAGATACCCTACGGGGAGACTGAACACATCATCCAGCAGTTACATGTCAAATTTTAGTTGAGTAAATTCTCTCTTACCAAGTTCTCTGTTCCTCTACCAAGGAACTCTGTAGTTATAAACTGTAGTCTATGGGGCGGAGTCTAATTGGAGGCCTGTATCTAGTGGAGTGCCTCAAGGGTCGGTACTGGGACCAGTATTATTTAATATATTCATCAATGATTTAGATGAGGGAATTGAGTGTACTATCAGCAAGTTTGATGATGACACTAAGCTGGGAGGGGTGGCCGACAAGCCAGAAGGCTGTGCTGCCATCCAGTGAGACCTGGACAGGCTGGAGAGTTGGGTGGGGAATAACTTGATGAAATATAACAAGGGAAAGTGTAGAGTCCTGCATCTGGGCAGGAACAACCCCAGGTTCCAGTATAGATTGGGGAACGACCTGTTAGAGAGCAGTGTAGGGGAGAGGGACCTGGGGGTCCTAGTGGACGACAGGGTGACCATGAGCTGACACTGTGCCCTTGTGGCCAAGAAGGCCAATGGCATCCTGGGGTGTATTAGAAGGGGGTTGGTTAGTAGGTCGAGAGAGGTCCTCCTTCCCCTCTACTCTGCCCTGGTGAGACCTCATCTGGAATATTGTGTCCAGTTCTGGGCCCCTCAGTTTAAGAAGGACAGGGACCTGCTGGAGAGAGTCCAGCGCAGGGCAACTAAGATGATTAAGGGAGTGGAGCATCTCCCTTATTAGGAAAGACTGAGGGAGCTGGGTCTCTACAGTTTGGAGAAGAGGAGATTGAGGGGTGACCTTATTAGTGTATATAAATATATAAAGGGGGAGTGTCATGAGGATGGAGCCAGGCTCTTCTCAGTGGCAAACAATGATAGGACAAGGGGCATGGGTACAAACTGGAACACAAGAGGTTCCACTTAAACTTGAGAAGAAACTTCTTCTCAGTGAGGGTGACAGAACACTGGAACAGGCTGCCCAGGGAGGTTGTGGAGTCTCCTTCTCTGGAGACATTCAAAACCCGCCTGGACACGTTCCTGTGTAACCTTATCTAGGTGTTCCTGCTCCAGCAGGGGGACTGGACTAGATGATCTTTTGAGGTCCCTTCCAATCTCTAACATACTGTGATACTGTGATACTGTGATAAACTGTCCCCTGTGCTAAGCTACGTGTATGGGAAATACAGTCAACTGAACAGCTCCATTAGAAGTTCAATAAATGCGATACATGGGAGTTTTGTAGAGCTAGCATCCCATGCCTTTTTCCAAGTATCAGCTTGCAGCTTTTTAATACAGCTAGTTCTGAACATCAACTATTTCACTTTATTTTGTAGAATATGGACCGAATTTTAAAGAAGCAACAGAAAAAAATAATCAGGAATTTCTACCTTTGTCTTTACAGGGAGGAGCTATGCAATGAAGATAGCACATCTTAAATTCAGAATGTTAGTTCATAGCTAGCATCACTTGATGTAATGCAATATATCTGCTACAGTAACAAGTTGCTGGTTTTGAGTTTGTAACATCACTCAGTTTATATTACCAAAAATTTTCTCTCTGGATATTATTTCATCTTCCTATTTTTTTTTTTCTGGTGATGTTTCAGTGTTTTAATTTCTTTTGCATTAGTAAGAGTAAATCGGTAAGCAACTAGAGGGAACAACATGGACTTTCCTGCTTTTTAATAAAACCTCATTTCCTTTGAATGGGAATTGTGTTTATCACCACCTACAGGAATACCTGCCTTGAAACAAACATTAACACCTACACCGTTTGTACTGAACGATTTTTGTCTGGCCTTAAGTATTATTTTATGGCTATCAGAAAGGCAACCTACTGCAACAAGAGATGGATGACTCTTAATGTGTCCGTTCAGGTCTCTGCAGAGCAGCTAAATACAAAAGGCCTTGTTGCAACAGGCATTACATTCTTCAAAACCTCTGTCTGTACATGTAACTGCCCTTGCTCACTGCAGAAAACCCCAGCTGGTGCTTGTACTCACATGGCTTTCACATCCCTTACTTGAGCACATGTGGCTACAGTTTCCTGGGAGCCACCTTCCCAGTGCCTTAGATGAAGGCTTCTTTCCAAGAAGAGAAAGCCTGCATTAGCTTCCAGTCCACGCACACTTGCACACAGCAGCACCAGGCATGGCAGCTTCCACTGGCTGTAATTCCCAGCAAAGACTCAGACTGGCTCACCAAGATCATTCTGGCACAGTTTCTTTGGCCTACTGCAAGGACAGAAGCTATTTAAATGGGGTTTGGTGCTTGGAGCACCGTAAAAATAAGAACCAGGTCATGTATTTTGAGCATTAATCTGATGCACCAAAACAAATCTCAGTGTATTTTCTGGTGGTTTGTACACAGCTCAGTCTTGGACCAAATGCTCTGTACCCCACTCAGGAGGTCAACATGTTTTAGTCTTATGGAATGGCTGTGATCTTAGGGCAACAGCAGGTAATGAATGATGACCTGGCAAGCTGAGAACAAGTCCCTCATCCCCTTTCATAATTGGGTCTGTCACACAGCCCCTTCTCTGTGAGGAACATCAGACACATTGCCCGAGTCCCTTGCATCCTCAGCTGGTAGCAGAAAGCATCAGAAAGTTTAGGAACTTCTTTTTGTTTCCCTGGATGTTAAATTTAATCTTGGTGCTATTTTCTCCCACACGTTTTGTTTTTGGGTCATGGTTTGTGTTTTTTTGGTGTTTTTTTTTTTTTTTTTGTTGGTTGGGTTTTTTTTCCCCTTAATCTACATACATTTAATATTTTTTAATTACCAGTCCATCTTAATCTCTCACAGTTGTTCCATGTACAGTCCTGCAGTAACAACCTTTTACGTAAAGAGACTTTAATCTATGCCTGGTACAATGATGACTCATTTTACATAATCCTTGGAAGAAGGATTTTACTTCTCTGTCTATTCAATTATTGCAAAGTTGTTCATAAGCCTGTTGTAAAACTCTACAGCAGTTAATGGATGTAACTGAAATCACTTCTAACTTTTTTCAGGTCAAATACTAAATCACTTAAGCTTCTTCATTTTTCTCAGAAGAGAGATTTAGAAGAGTTACAACATTTTAACTGGTCCTGTGCTGTTTTCTGAATGATGACCAGTTTGAAGTTCTGAAGTCCCTGTACTTCCTTGTGCAGCGATGACTATGACCCATGTTCTCTATTTATGCCGGCTTTCTTACAGCTTCTACAGGCTTTAACTGAGCAAAACAATATGCATTGTGCAACTGCTTCTCTGCAGTGAAGACATGCAGTACTCAAGTGCTGTTTGTATTGTTTTCTACTGAATGCCCAGCTGCTGTATTATCACTACCACACAGTGCTGCTGCAGCTCCCTAGCATCTTTAACACCACACCCACCTGCAGCATTACAGTCAAACTGGTCTCTGTCAAATGATGATTCACCCTGACCCATACAATTTAAAATCTGCTGGAAATGGGAACGTTCTTCATTTTTTTTAGTTTCTTCTTATAGCCACAACAATAGAGTTGGTTGGGTTTTTTCTTAGTTTTGTAAGGGAGGAAACACCCCTACCCCTTTGTTCATCCACAGCATTGGATCTAAATGGTTTCACAAATTTACTGTTTCACTGTTTGGTGTGTTGTGTCCCTCCTCTTCCTAGTAGGATGTATTCCTCTACAGAAGCTGTACACTTCACGGTTTCATACAAGGCATTATACTGGTAGCAAAATCTTAGTCTTTTTGTATAATATTAGCTATTTTTTCTGAAGGAAAAAAAATAATCTTTTATGCTTCTTCACCAGACATTTGTAATTTTTAAGTTTTCCCCTGAGATAAACAGATACATCCCAGTATCAGTGGCTACAGGTTTCTTCAATTTTGCTAGGCATTTGTATATACCACTGAGCTTACAGATCTGCATTAGGAGGTTAACATTTGTAGTTTCAACAAAAGATCATATAAAAGAACTTCAAGCCTCAGAGAAATCAAACTAATCACATTTACTAACTACAGGCAAGTGGTTAGGCTTTGCATATGCATCCACAGCTGTTTTGAAAGCATTTAAAGGGATTTTAACATACCAAAGATTCTGAGGACAAGCATACCCAGGCAAGGTAGACACAACCATCACTACAGAAATCAACACCTTTGTAATATCCAATCCTTACATGGAACACTGAATATCACCTGCTTCATCTCATGGTAGTGATATACACTCCCAAGTGGTCTTTATCTCCTCTGCATTATGAGATAATCAGTCTGAGAAGATGTCCTTCCACATTGCACATGCAAGAACACAACGTGATGGGGCGAGCACCAGCAGCACATTATGTGTGCACCAAATACAATAACAAACCATTTATGTTATGAAAACACATCTGGTTTGAGTTGAGTAAATACAGAAAAGGAAATTGATTTTACAGACAAAAGGAAATTAGGGGGTTTGTTTAGAACTTTGTTGGGTTTGGGGTTGGTTTTTGTTTTTTTTCCAGTAAGACAGCAGCATTAGGCAGCTCCAGTAGCTTATCAGCACAATATACAACATCTTGTTCCACCTAGAAATATAATTTTTAGGAACCTATCCCTATTATTTCAGGGAGAAAAAAAAAAAACCAGAAAAAAAACCAACAACCCCAACAAAGCTGCTTCCTGTGTAAAGTCGCTATTCCTGCAGTCTTTAAAGACATATTTTTACTCTCACAAGTGCTACAATTGCAGGACTGAGAGCGCAGGACTCTGCATTGCTGTGCATTCACAGTAGAATAGAAAACAGCCCCAACCCATGCTGATTCTGCATCCTCATGGTGGTCAACTGACTGAACAGCAGCGACCTCAGCATGCCCCCAACAGAACTGAGTCACAGTCAGCAGGGACCTGCATGCCCCGTGTCACTGACGCATCTTTGCTCCAGCTAACAATAAGAAATGCCCCACCCCCAACACAGACTAACCTTCTCCTGCCAGTCAATAAAAACCCCCAAACAACACAAACCCCATGCACATGGACTGACTTTCAGTACGCAGATCTTAATGCTTCAGAGCAGCCCTTCGAAAAACTCAACCATGTTAACGCAAGGGTTGGGTCTGCACACTGCCACTGAAGCAGCAGCTCATTAGCAACTGTTAGGAAAACGAACACCACCCCACCCCCCCCAACCCCCCCCCCCTTATACTGCATGTAGAAATAAACTATTCCGAAGAGGAAAGAACTGCTTTTCTCATGCAGATGGAGCACTTCACCTTGTGAAGGAAATGCCTCTTTTTGTCAACAGGTAAAACCAGAGGAAGCTGCCTCGAGCAATTTAGAGAAGGGAAAGTACTAATATTTTAAAAGCTAAGGGACACTCTTGGAATTCAGAATTTCCCTCCGACAGAAAAAAAAGACTTTTCCAGCTTTGGCCAGCCAGCTCAGCACTGCTACGAATGCTCCCCCTGTTCAGAGTCCTTTTGCGTTGAAACTTCATTGTTAGTATTTTTAACATCTATTGATGCCAGTTGACAGATGACTGATCCAAATAGCCTGTAGGCATAAACCAACTTGTATGCTGTATTTTTAAATCTTTCTGGATTTAAGCCTGCGGTTGTTAAGTGGCTTTGTTAAGTTTGTTTTCCTTATTTACAATACATATGGTAAAGAGAGCTGTTCCAGATTTTAAAATTAAAGCTATATTCAATCTTTTCCTTGCTCAGGGAGAGGTGGGGACCCTCCCCTCCCTCTACAGGAGGAAGTTTCATAACAAGATCCTGCCATACAGCCTATATTTTTTTCCTCCAGTTTTGCATTTCCCTTCTAGTATATATAAAACAATAACATTTTGATTCTAATCCTTTGATTCATTTTACAAGTGATATTTCCAGTTAGAAAAAACAACAAAATCTGAACAGGCACTGGTTAAAAGATATTTAAAAATACATTTTTATGAGTGAAGCATTTCACTTAAAGCGGCATCCTTCATGTCATGCATTGGTTTTTTAAGCAATCGAGATGAAGCTTGTATCTATAATGCAAACCACTGGGTGGAGTTACTTTAAAAAATATTCTTTGCAGAAGAATTTGGCTTTATAAATCCAAAATAATACAAGTTAGCCAGCATAATACAAATGGAATCTGCCTGGAACGGACAAACCAAAGCTGGAGCACAAAACAAGGCTTTGATATGTCAAGCTGCCTATAACATAATCAATGCCACACACTAATTCCAAAGGGGAAAAAAAAGAGTAAAATTTGTGAGAACAAACACAATATTCAATATTTCATTTACAGCCTTTCAGAGAACCACTTGTGATTACATAATGCTTTGGTTTACCTTAAACCTCTCCTCAGTAAGGTCCTCTGAGAGTCTTGAGATGCCCCCTGAAACATTAGGATAGGCAGAGCGAAACATTCTCCATTCCTTTTTGTAGTTTAAAGACCTGATAATGGGAAACCGACAGTGGAGTAGTACTCACTTTTAAAAAGTCGAATTCTGCCATTTTTTGAAAGGTAGTTCATGAATGTATTTGAGAGAGACAGCAAAATAGAGCACAAGAGGTGGGGGTACCTGGTTCCCTCAGATCTAATCCAGGGGAGAACACAGCAGTAGCAGCAGCAAGAAACTGTGATTCTCTTTAAGATTACCTTAAAATCTTTTGGTTCCATCATCAGCTTAAAGGAAAATGGAAAACAAGTTTGTTCAGCAGTGGCTTCTGTTCTAAACCCTGTGGTAGTGGTGACAGCTAAGGCCCTCTTCCTCCCTTTCTTTCATCAGAAGCCACCTGCCACTCCAGGTACAGGTGACTTGGGTTCAGCACCTCCCCCCTCTGCCTACAGGGCTCAAACTACCATCAGCAACATTAGCAATAATAATCACCAAGGCAGTTTGGGACAAAACAGGCAAAATTGTGCATATGTCACTCAGATCTACCCGAAATGCTCTCTCTCTGCTCACTGGCATTTTATTCAGTGACCACTTAAGATTATAACCAGCTACAATAAGTTATTCATCTCTTCAGAAAGGATAAAAACCACAAAACCCCAAACACTTAACAGTTAAACATTGGGCTTGAAAAGGAAAATATCTACAGATGGTTAACCACAGACCAACGCCTCCCTCTGACACTGTGAATTCAGCACTTGAGATTCAGATAGGAAAAAATAAACCTTTCAGCTCCATGCAGTAAACTGAATCAGGGAACTAACAATT